AAATGTGCTACTATCACAAAACATGAAAGGATAAATTAAGTGCCATATTAGTTATATAGATATTCACATACCGGAGCCTTGAAACCTCATTATAAGCTTCAAGAACGAAGAGTGCAATAACTGGAACTCAGTGTGGAAGTGTATGGAATCATGCCGTCTGAACCGTTAAAAACTTTGTTTCCTAAAAATAATTTAAATATTTACCCGGATCACAGGTGAAGACAATAAAAAACATCAGCAAGGACATGTGCAGGTAGAAGCGACGGTCTTGCGAACGGAATCGGCAAAGAGTAGAAAAGTATTCCCTCACTCTGAACAACCCGAACACTCTTCTCATCGTGGCAAAGCGAACGTCGTGAGTCTCGGCCTCTTCCTCCTCGATTAACGTCGGAGACTGTTTAAGCAACGTCTCGCGGAGGAAAAGGGCGACGTGTAGGACGGCCAAAGCGCAAAAGCCGGTGCTGATGACAGCCATGTAGTCGTAACCTGAAAACAGGGGCAGCAGGTAGCTGGTCAGCAGGTTGCCGGTCAGGTAGCCGAAAGACAGCACTCCGCTGGTGACGCCGATGCGCACGGTCAGCCACTTCAGGCTGCTTGCGTTGTCGGTTACGATAGTGAAAAAAAGACCGATGACCGCTAAGGCGTGACCAGTAATACCGCTGATGAATGACGATAAGAGCAAGAACGCGGGTGGTAGGGTCGGGAACCCGGCGGCGATAACCAGCACGAACTGACCGAAGGTATAGCCCACAAGACAAATCAACAATGGCACCTTTCTGCCGTGAGTGTCTGCCCAAGGTCCAATGAAAAAGCTGAGTATCAGAGCCAGAAAACAGCCAATCAATTGAGAGTACTGCATGTAGCGCGAGGAGACGGCCTCGATCTCGATTCGTAGTGTCATGTTCGTCACATTTTCGCAAATGTCCTCCTGCGAGAATGGCATCGAGGATGCAACGAGAGTCATGCAGACCCTGTGATAAATAAACGCATAGAATATGCTCGAATTTATGCCTACCGAGCTGCCAAACAAGTAAACCGTGATTTCTGGAACTCGAAACCACGTTTTTCTGATGTCCGTCATTTTTCGTTACGTCTCCAAACCCAGAAGCCCACTTGAGGCTAAGTTACATGGATACAAGACCAACGCTGGTGCCCGCATTCGATTACGACCATTTCCTTAAAAGTTAAAAATGCAATGCACTGAACTGAAAGGATATGATAGCACAAGCTTATACATCATCAGAAAAATAACAGAATATCAACGGTTAAGATGAGTTTCCGAGGAGAAGAATGTTTTCCTTTCGTCGGATGGAACTGACAAGAAAAAACTTTATTTATTATCACGAGTTGCAGCTATCAGCACAATCGCTCAAATTCTATCATAATCATTTATTATATCAGTATTATACAATCAGATCATGTAAAATGGACAGTACGCAAGAAATATACTAATCACATTATAAAACATGACTTGACTCATTGAACGCCGCAAAGAACTAGGTATAACCGCTATTTTCTCTCTACTGTAAAGCTGAATGTAATCTCTGTACTAGGCGTAGTTTGCAGTTTGTAGATAAGAGCGGCTCCGTTGTTGTCAGTTCGTCCCTGATACCATTCAACGATAAACCATGCGAATTAACAGTCTTTTCCAGCATTGGTACTATATACTACTTCAAACCGTGGTGTTGATCAGACATTTATCTTTCAGTCATATTACATGGTCGAGAAATGAGGATTTTTGTTTGTTTTCGTCTGAAGGAACACTGATACTAATATGTTCGATGTATTCCATTTGCACCTTTTCAAACAAACATCGTACGGTAATTCAGCATTTGTGATCTTATCAGTTAATCTTTAGCGAAGTATGTTGTGCCAACAGCAGCTTTCAAACACGTGTATAGAATCGGTTTCATTCTTGATAAGGATCCACGTAGATAGGCATACATGAGTACCGATAGAATAGCTGCCAAACTGACAAAGAATTTCACCGACACATTGACAACAGCAGCATTCTGTAAACATTTCAAGCTTTCCTGACCCTTTGTGAACTTTCGCTTCACCACTGATGACAATAAATTTTGGATTACACAACATATTAATTCCATCATGCAAATCGCATAGAAACTTTCCAGAAAATCCTGACCGCTGGAATAATACGAAAGGTTGCATTTATGACACATACCATAAAACTACAATTCTGAACTCTCTTTACCTTCAAATGAAACCCCTCAATATGCTTCTTTTCAAAAAAGTGTCGTATTTTGCAGCATTTCAAAAGTACTGAAAGGTCTTAAACTTTCCACTTGTCGATGTTGAATACCCAATTTACCTGTTCTTAGAGAACAGCTTTATTCCTCAGAGGCAACAAAAACTAATAATTCAGTTTCAATGATCGCTTATCATTTCATTGGCGTCGCAGAGGCAAACGTGTCAAACAAATTTTTCAACCTTCCCGATCGTATGCCAACGTTTCGGCTTCGGTAGGAGATAGTGTGAGACTAGAGCACAGTCCTTCGAGAGACTGACTCAGGTTCTCTTGGCCTTCCCCACGACGGTTGGTTTAGCACGGTTGAGCAAGAAGCAGCCGTTTCGCCTTCTTTTCTGGAGATATTCGCAAGAAGTGCCCAAATATCTCTTTTACAGTATCATTTTATTCAAGATTGTACCACAACATTTGTAAAACAGGTTTTAAAATCATCATTTTCGTCGATTTCATTTTTGTTAAGTGCTGCCGTCTCCACGCCAATGGGCCAAGGTGTTGCAAGCTTCGTATATCCCCAGCACTGTCCTGTCAAAGTTTGAATAACTTGCTGCTAATGCCAACGAACAGCATCTCTTAACTTAATCTATGGCCCTCCGTCTACAGTCTACGTACTCCCAAGACACCGAGGTTCTGGCACATTATCCAGAACTTCAATGTCAAGGGTCAGACAGGATTTAATTTGGGTTCTATCAATTACAATCAACTACTTCTTCTATAAGGTAATCGAGAAACCCAGATCAGTGTAATGGTAATCCCGATATAATTTTCCTGGATCAGTGCTGGCTGTAAGCAACACGATATTATCCGAAAACGCAAGAGTCTAAACATATGTCGCCAATACTTGCAGCAGTCTTAAATTCGCTCCTTAATACGGAATGGAGCAATCAGTCAAGAAAAATCGCAAACAGAGGAGAATCAACTGGTCCTTATCTAATCGTGAACTCTTACGAAAGAATCTGCCTAACCTGCCATCAAGTCACACTGCAATTTGCGAAAGAAAACATATCTTTATGCGTTATGCGAATAATTTTTCGTTGGATTTAATACCGTTCTTAAAATTTCCACAAAGAATCTCTCCGGAGTAAGACAAAAGCGTTGATGCAATCAGGCGATAACTGCAAAGAATTTCGATCGTCACTCCCTATTGTTTTTCATTACTTCTTTCATTGTTATATCCGGCCCAAATATCCCTTGGCTGTGCTCAATCTAGGGTACTCTTCACCCAAGATCTACTCAACATGTTGCTTGATCCTATCCAACAAAACACACAGGAACAACTGGGGAGCGGGGAGAGGTGGGATCAGGAACGGATAGTAAACCGATTGAAAGATTTAAGATTTTACTGGATTTTGAATGGCATTACCGATGAACGCCATTTTTCAGCATAAAGAAAAAATAAAAAGAGCATATCAGAAACCACATGCGAAAATGACAAAATATATCAAAGAAGAAACAATCAAACGGCATTGCGTGATATCACACGGCAGTAACTTAGCAAGAACCCAGCAGAAGGGCATGACAAATGTCTGGCAGCACAAAGCGTGTGAACAAAGTTGTGTTACATTTAATATAATTAGAAAATGAGTGTTAAGGACGGAATCAACGAACGACCCGCGAAATAACTCGGTCCTCACTCACCTGGTGATAAA